ACATTCAAAGATTTTTGACAAGTTCGGAATTAGTTCATCAAACGTGTGCACTGCACTTCCTATATCATCCATGAACTGTGTACACATATCCCCTGCTAGGCATGGATCTAAGTAGTGCCGAATAAATGAACTGAAACCCGTTACTGACTTATTTAGACCTTGCGCTAGGCATTTGTATGCATAAGTTCGTGATGAAAAGTTAAATGCCAACAATTGAACCGAAATGTCATCTGCCATTTGTACACAATGGTATGCTTGTGAGCAATCAAGTTTTGTAAACAAGTTCTTTCCGGCAAAATGATTTGAGGCATCTGTCATATTTGAGATTGGAAAGTTCGTGTTTAAATAATCATTCTTGAGCGAATGGTTTATTCTTCTTAGATCAATAAGCATGCGGAGTTTTCCTGATGGCTTTCGGTGAGCAAACAATGGGCTACTGTACTTTGATTGTGATAATGTCGTTATAAGGCCAAAGTAATGCATAAGTGCAAGTTCAATTGTTAATTCTTTTCGTAGGTGGATAGGCGTAGGCGGACCTTGTGTGTACAGAGGTCGTTGGTGTTCCGGTGTTAGTTTGATTTGCAATTCCGAGTTGTATCCGACATCAAATCGATGTTTGGCAAATATATCCGAGTATTTAACAAGTAAATGTTCCACTTGTGACCTTTGCTCATTTGTCAACACGGAATTTTCCCAATTGAATTGATCTAGAAATGTCAATCTATCATGGTCACTTGATTTCGGTTCACAAAGTTCAAGATTCTTAAAATGGAGGATCTGGTCATAGATCTCCCGTTGAATTGGGGTAAGAATGTTAGGGTTTTCACACGTTTCCGGTGTCGGGAACCAAAATTTTTCATACTCTGGCTTTGGTTTGATAGGTTTCACGTCATTTGATTTATTCACTTGAATGAGCTGATTGATTTCATGTTTCACATTTTCCGGGTTGGTCATTTTTGCTAAAGCCAACGTTTGTGGGTCAATTGGGATGATATTTTTCATGTCTGTTGATGTTAAGATCGAAAAATTTGCGATTGTGCTCTTGTTCGGCAAAGTTATTACATGATCGGTTACATTAAGTGCTGAAATATACAGTTTGCTATCATCTGTAGTCTCACTGATTGATGACATTAGCGCAATATTGGATTCGTCTTCAAATTCGGGGACTGGTACAACTGTTCCGATAGTATTTTTAATGTCGATCTCGGTAAAACACTCTAAAAGCACCGTTTTCTGCGGCGGAATAACGTATTTCTTCGAAAGGATTACTGGTACTCGGAGCGCTTGTTTTTTATGTCGTTTAGAACTTGGGGTTTTGATTTCATTTATTTGAGTTGTTACATCGGGAAATTTCAAAAGATCATATTTCGGACAAATTTGTACGTCGTGTTTTTTATAAAAACAGTTTCCTAGTATCATTGAATTCGCTGTTGGTAACACAAGGAAAATTTCCGTGAACGTTTTTGCTGCAATTTTGAAACATATTGTTGCTTCGATCTCTATTGGTACAAGTTGACCTCCGGCCATTCGTACTCGTTTCAATTTCGACTTTTGTGTCACTATTTCTTGATATAAGAATTTATCCGTTTTGAGGTCGTTGAAATTTGTCTGTGATATAACATTTGCACACGCTCCTGTATCGACCAGGGCGCGCCTAAAGGTTTTGGGTGCGAATTGAAGTTTGACATAAGAAAGTGTTTTGTCGCTTTCCGGTATAACAGCATATAAATCAAGTATTTCGTGTGGAAATGCATTTGATAGCTTTTTATTGGAATTACTATTTTCGGCTTCATTTTTCCCCAATTTATTCAATCGTGAACGTTTTGAAGTTTTTATGTTTTTTTGGCGTCTTTTCGGTTTAGCGTTAGGTGTTTTTTGCTTGGTATCGTTTATTTCGGTTTTTCGTTCTGACTCTTGACTCGGTGGCGCTATTAGTTTTTTGACTGATTTTGGAATGGGAAGGATTGTCCCCTTCCTTGAGGTTTTGGTCTCATATAACATTGACTGGCGGTATGGTTAGGGTAACCACATGTATCGCAGAGCACAGGGGTTGATCGAATTACGGGCATATACGGGCCGTTTGGGGCTTGAATGTCAACGTTTGTTGCTTGCTGTTGGTTGACTGACTGCTGTTGGAAGTGGTTCGATTGTGGGTACTGGTTCTGGTAGTTCTGATTCTGGTAATTCTGATTCTGGTAATTCTGATTCTGGTAATTCGATGGTCTCCTAGGCCATTGCTGCTGATTCCCAGGGGGGAATGGGTAAGGACTTCGGAAGTTTCCTCCTCTTCCTTGGTATCCGGATCTGAAGTTGTTTTGATAAAGGTACTGACCTCTAAAGTTATTATTCCCTCTACTATAATGATTTCTGGGTGAGTATTCGTTCGTGTATTGTCCGGAGTAGGGTTGTCTCGGCTGGTAACCTCTACCTCCTCCACGAAATCCTCGTTGGAAACCACTATTATTATTTGGGAAACGATTCTGCTGATGCTGCTGTTCTTGTTGTTGTTGTTGCGTTTGCTGATTTGTTGATCGCTGTGCGGATGTCGATGCTTCTTGACGATCTCTATCGTTCATTTGAGTTCGAATTTCGTTCACTTGCTTCTCCATAGCTTCTTGCGTCGCAGTAAGCTTCGATAAGGCGCTGATAAGATTATCAGACACAGTCTCACTTATTTCGTTAAATCCATCCTCTGGATAATCTTCTTTTCTGCACATATCTCGGATGACCAGCTGTCTCCTTGCATACATACAAAGGTCTTGTACCGTGTTACCCGCAGGCTGTTCCATGAGCTTTGCACGAAGCCATCCAGGCATAGCTTTTACAAACAGTCTTCGAATTTGTGCGTCTCGATGATCCCTTACTGCGTCCAACCGTTCTTGACGATGTGCAGTTTCTCTGGCATGTCGTGCTGCTTCTAATGCGGCATTGACAGCTGCTGCATCAATTGGGTCAGGAATTGGTATTTCTGGCGTTGGGTACGCTTTTTGCGCTTTTTTCTGTAAGGTCACCAAGAAGTTTTCTGGCGTATCCTTCTTTAAGTCGCATTTTTGCTGTTCCAATTTCAAGACATGGACTTCTTGGAGTTGCGGATTACTGAAATGATCGCGCAACGCTGTTAAGCTGTCGACTACGTTTGCTCTAGTCGCATCTGGTAATGTCTGGTAGAAACGAAGTGCATTATCACGCAAGTGGAGTTGTAGAAAATTCGCTTGTTGAGCCGGTAATACGCCTGCGACTCCGATGAATCCGTTGAAGAGTTGTTCGAATTGTGAAAAATCTTCGGTATCCGTCCCTCCGTACGGGTTAACTGAGATTTGAGCGTGCGCCATTTACAGTTTTATGATTTTCAGTCTGTTTTCAGTTAGGTTTGAACAATTTATAAAATTTATATGAACGAACTGGGTTGGTTTTATCACGAAAAAGCTGATATTTTAGCACAGCGCGGTTAAAATTGTTAGTAAGGCTAATTCAATGCTAATGCTGATTTCGATTTTAGAGTTTTCCGTCTTTAAGCTTCAATCTACTGCATTTACGCTCCTCCAATTTTCAATGATTTCCAATGATCATGATTGATTTCAATGTTTTTTGATTTGAGCGCACACCAATTTAATACTTCTCACTAATATATAGCACAAGAGTCTTAATAGTTTGACCTACAAGTTTGTAGAGACGAAAGTTCTCGAGTTTTCCAGTTACTTCACTTGAATGTAGTTTCCTCAATTGACAGAATCACAAAACACTCATTAGTAAGTTCACATTTCTGATTTGACACAGTTGCTGCGCTTGATCTACTGTTTCAGCTCGCCCTCAAGATGTCGTCTAGCTGGATTTCGTCTAGCTGGATGAGTGGAGATTGTCACTGTACTGTCGTTCGCGAACTATCACCATGTAATGCACTGCTTTTATTAATTAACCCGCATGGTTTCTAGATGTTATTGAATGGTATTAACTGGAGTTGATTTAGCAGTATCTCAATACGGACGCATGGGCCCCGACAGCATGGATTCTATCTCTATCACTTTCTCAGCTGTTTGAATTTAACTTTGGTTAGTAAACTTTTTTTTTTTTTTTTTTTTTTTTTTTTTTTTTGGTTAGTAAACTTTATTACTTTCAGCTAGCTCGATATTCAATATTATGTCCCAACTAATAACTCACTATTTACTTTTAATAAACACTAACTTGTTCAACTGCATGCTTGGGATTTTAACATTAATAATTTATGACATCAATTTCTAATATAGCACTTATTTCATGGCTATCAATAGCGTGCCATTTATGGGTACGCTACAATAAACGATATTAACACTCTTCAAATTGAATCGAAAAAGTATTTAAAAAAATTATTAAAAACTTTACATAAATAAAAAAAAAAACCGGCAAATAAGCCGACATAAACTGGAACGAATTACATAAAGCCTACAAAACATGTATTGAAATCTGAAAACTTTGTCAGCTTTGACCCAGAACTGTATTAAAATCTGAAAACTTTTTCAGCTTTAGACCCAGAACTACAACAAAAAGCTGTTAAAAACTCAACTTGGCTAGAAGTGGAAATCTTTTACAAGTAGAGATCCAGTGAACAAAGTTATCTACGGGAAAAAATATAATACAAGATTGCAATACCCTTGCTTATCGCAAGGGTGAAAATAACAATAAGATTAAAATCAAACGGGTTTTTCTCGATTTGGAAATTTTTTGTTCGACACACGACTGAAATGCTTTTATTATGATATATCACTCAACCCTCAACCCACTCCGATGATTATAAGTGGTACCTGATTCTGCGTGGAAAAACTATAACACAACCGAATACAAAGTTTTTCCCCATTTTCTATGGTCGGAACAAAAACGTTGAATGCATTTTTGAAATAAACACAAGTTCACACAAATGAAAATATGCGTCAAACCCAAACCTTTATTCATATTTAAATGGAACTCAAACTCCTAATGCGTAGATGAGAATTCAAAAATCAGTTGGCCATAATTGCCCGCTTCAGGAGCTGGGAAAACTGGTTACTTGCAGTTCGTTTTCTACCAATGATGACAGTTACGAATCTTCAGACGAGAACGAACCATCGTCTATCGACGAGATCAAAGGTTCAATTGAGGTCAAGGATACAGAGGTGTTGGGAAATGAAATAGCGGACAAATATGTGGCCACGCCCCCTTTGAAGATCAAAAACTTCCAGACAGCTGCTATGGTTCTAACCAAGGGTTGCTCACAGGTAACTAGCTAACAATAACCAACATAATCGTCCAAAAAATTAAAATTGGAACTCAGTGCCAACTCCAAAAAGTTTACGAAACCTGATGAATGGCTTCCGCTAGAAACAGGAATCATTTTAGTGTGACTCAGTGGATTGGCTCATATCACTTTATACAGAGCCAAAAAAGAGATTAAGTGAATTTTGATTCAAATTTTCCTTACTAGAGGCCTAAGAGTTGCATAAACTATTTAAATAAAACTTACCCCCTAATAATTTATACTTTATCATATTCAGGAAAGAGTTCATGCATATATTCTAGGAAATCAGAAGACTCGTGTCATGTTCCCAGTTTCCAACGACAGAGGACGAAGAATCAGACATCTCCGACGAGATCGTCCTAATTGGTCCGCCTAAGCCGGTCATTATCAGAGCCAGTGCCGTGATAGATCCGGTCTATCCCGCACGCGAGGACAGTTCCAGCTCTGAGTATGATACTCAAAGCGAACACATGGTCAGTCGGAGGACATCTTCGAATCCGCCGACCAAAAAAATGACAACGCAAATCTCAGAGAAGATAAAACTAAATCCTGAAAACACTGAGCGACGTGCTTCGATTGTGGTAACCGAACATAATACAACCGAGGTCGAAGTACACAAAGAGGCTATAGGTCCGAATCCAAATTGCGATTCGAGTGCCTCGTTTGAAAAGACAGACAGAACAACTCAGACTACTCCTAAACAAGACAAACGTCAGAACCTGAAGCCTGTGATGCGATACGAGCCGGCCAGGAGGTCTTTTAAGAAGATGCAAGACATGAAAATGGATGAACCCAAACAAGAGTGTATTTTGCCCTTGTCGGCAGAGGTATGGAAACTATGCGCTTTTATTTGATGAGCAAACTTTTGAATCAATTTTTCCCAATTAGGCTAGTTGAACCATCTCAAACAAATTGCAGCCAAGTGATTTGTGGCGATCCACTGAAATTGATACAGTTAAATTGAAGCCATGACAAAAAAAAACAATAAACCGTTCAAAACTTCAGTTTTGGACTTTTGATTTTCAAACTTATATTTGGTCATCAAAAAAGCAGCTTCATTTCCGATAACTTATGACATGGAGTTCTAAAAAAGAAAAAATGAAAGTACCAAGTTTTAAGCTCAAGCTCCTTCATTTCAGCATGGACAAAACTTGGATCCTCCAATTTGGACTGTAAGATCACCCGAGATCAGTGAAGATAGCAGCAGTGGCATCTATGAGGAAGTGGCCGAAGAAGACTCACTATCTGTAATGAAAACGAGAAAGGGTCTAATTAAGAAGAGAGAGCAGCAGTACAACAGTAGGACTAACGAGCAACTGAGAGACGCCAAAATGGAACTGAAGAACACCGAAAATCAAAATCAGAAGAGAAAAGGTATTATGGGGTATTATGGATAGCCGGAGACTGTGCAAACAGCAAAGAATTATCCGACTACACTGATTTTAAAAAGTTTTTTTTTGTCTATTTTTCTGTTACTTTTTACTAGAAATGACTATTAAGGTGTAAAAACGCAAGAATGATTGGTTATAATAACTTAAATAACGTTAAAATAGTAGTAGAAAAATTTAGAGTTAAGCCTCTGTTTAATTTGTCTATATAGTCTGGAAACATAAAAAGAATTAGAATTTTTTTGTCGAAACAGACATCCTCTATAAGAATCCGAAATTACGGAAAAAAGGTCTTTAATATGATATTTAAATTTGACTACCAAATTTATTCTTAGCTATTTCTGGTTGAAACATTTATGCTAGAACGTTATTCATCTTATGGAAGAAACATGCAGCAAATTGAATTGTTTAAATATATGAGAAAGATCCAATATGCTAAAAAGCTATTCATGAGTTCATAAAACACATCCGAAACCAAACAACTTACCATTCCTAGGGGACATGTTCCGTCGAAAAAAACAGATTAAGATAAATTGGCGGAAAGGGTTGACAGACATTTTTAAAATCACTTGCAATAGAAAACAAGATAAGCCAGTAGCTGTGCAAGTAGAATAGAAAAGTCCGACCACATCCAAAGAGAAATCGACTACAGTTGTCCTCAAAAGTGACTAACAGAAAAAGAAAAAAATCAACAGATTGGAACCTGATCTAAACTACATTTTATGATTGGATAATTTAGATATTTTACCAATGTAAAGTATTTAATATTAACCAATCATGATCCATCTAACTAACAACCCACTTATTTGTAAGTGCTGAAGTTACTTGTAATTTCAGCACCAGAGAGATTTGAATTTAACTTAGAAATTAGTTGGACTCTCCCGAGCACTTCAGCAACCGCAATAAACCAGTATACCCTAGATCTATTGAGCCTAGCAGAGACTAGTTAAACAACCTGAGACTAGATAGTATAAGAGTAAGATTAGGATCGGTATTAGACTAAGAAGTTGCACGAATCTATCCGGCCGAAAATAAGATAGCGTGACGAGCAGACGGTGTACCCTATCCGAAATTACTCTATGAGTTAACCAACTCGGTCCTAACTCATCTGGTGCGACCATAAGTCTCGAACAAGACCTTAATAGCTTAGAATTAACCAAAATAGATTAGAAATTAGACAAAAACATTTACAAAATGTTATACGACAATAATTTAATCGAAATGTCTCTACGACTCAATAGATCAGAGCCAATATTCCGAACCATAACAGAACTACCCGGAATTGGAAGAAGACCTCGAACCAGAGACGACATACGACAAAGTAGAAACTTGCCATATAGCTATATGATAGTTAGGCAAAAACCAGAACAAACTTTTATATTTAGAATACTACTGGCAATGAATTTAGATTTTCATTTGCAAACATAAAATCTTGAAGTTAATCTTCAAAATCATTTCAGGCGCTAAACAAAATTATTAATATACAATAACGATTGATAAAAAGATCTAAGATCGTTTTCCTAAAATTCTGCAGTAATATACAAAACATGTTTGAAAAATATTTATTGAAAAATAAAAATAAAAATTAGTAGCATGACAATAAATGGTTAGTAATCATAAATCATCCTGTTGTTCCAGCTCCATCACCTAAAACATAACAGCAATCAAAAACCCACTAATATCATCAAAACACTAAATCTTTCCTTTACACACATTTAAAATTTTATTAAAACTTAAATTCACTTAATTTTAAAACCAGATCATCAAGGCTTATCCTTGGATCTTAAATCATTTTCTACTTAATTAAATTTCAAATTTGATCATCAAGGCTTATCCTTGGATCAAACAGAACAACTTTGTTCTCCCCCACCCACTTAATTAGTGTCTAACGACCTCAAACGTCGATTCACTACCCAACCCTTTCTAAAGACCTAAGACTAATAGAAATTTTTAAACAAAACTAATCATTCAAATTAGGATAAACAGTGAAGAACTTCGGTTATTCATCCTTCACTTGACCCCCCCTCTTACCAGACCCAGGATAAATCTTAGACTTAGTAAGTTTAAAATAGTATCTAACGAACTACTCGCGTTCTAATTATACCTGAACCTTGTGGATCGATTTACTATTCTCCAACCCTTGAACACAATCACTACCCCTAAGTAAGATTAAGTAAGTTAACACCTTAACTTATACTAGCCACGAGAAAGTAAAAAATCATTCTTCGGAATCGATATACTTTTCTCTCCAACCCTGAACAAACAGACCCAGGTTAAGCTAACCAAAAAATCGTAAGAACTAACAGTTTAAGAAAATAGAAACCATTTAACAACCCTTTGCATCCGTCATTCTAAACCTTATGTCATTTAAAAACCTAGGAAATAAACAAACAATCGTTTTACACAATTGTGAAATAGATAACAAAAAATACGACCTTGTAATCACACCTCATACACAAACAGTTGGATACATTCGAACAAAACGACAAACACTAAAAAGAAAAATAATAACGAAACAAAGACAAATAACACGAAAAAGATTTTCAAAAAATCGAAACGCATTTTCAGAATCAGAAACCAACAGTTTAGACGAACTTTACAAACTAAAAGAATCAATAGATAAAAATTACCCACTTCACGATCAATTATATTTTTCTGACTCAGAAACAACTTCAAATTCATCAAAAAGAGGAAAAAGAAGAATAAAAAAGCAGTATAAACACAAACCAGTACATTTATACAATTGGAATCAACCAATTAGACACATTGATAATTACATATTAACAGTCATCGAACGAAAAAATGAGCTCAACGCACACCCCAGGTGAAGAAAGTCCAGATGATGATGAAATCTTTCCTTTTATAGTAGACGCAGATACTGATAGGACAACACATATTTTGTCAAAATTTACTCGTAAATTTATTTGAACCCGGAATTAGTCCATGTAAAACAGAGTTCCCAGATGTAAAAATCAAAAGACAAATCATAGACCACTACTTAAAAGATATATGCAACATAACACAACAGTATGGAATCTACTCCATAGAATTCACCTCACCAAACCATAATAATAGAAAATATACAATTCAAACAGACGATCTTGATTTAGAATTTTCAAAAGTTTTTTCAGAATATATAAAAAGCATCCAATATCATAACTCACAAAGAGCAAACTCCATATTCACCAATGAAGTTTTCGCAATAATATATAGTTATATTTCGATATTAGAAAACGAAATCCCAATAACAAATGTCTCACCGACAGAAACATCTAAACATTTAAGAGTACGACATGAAATCACACTACTCTCTAGTTATTTAAACATCATTAAAGAAAAGTTCACGAAAGACGACGTTTCACAACATACAAAACACGATCTACAAAAAATTTTGGCATGGTTCATAATAGATTATTTCACACACAATATTGATTTAATTGCACAAGCAAGAAAAAATTTTAGACCCCAAAACTCGAACGATGATACCGCTATCACAGAACAATCAGATTATGTTTGGGACCCCGAATGGTCTCATCCCGCATTTATAAGCTTCCCACAATCAATCTCAAGTCAAGCAATAAGTACGATATCTTACATAAGAGATTATGTAAAAGTAATACCATTAACCATTGATGCAACACCATTAAACTATAATACATTTTTGCCCGATACACAAAATAATAGTTTAAACTCTACAGTTATACACAATGAAAACCTCAATGGAACTAGGAATCTTACTCAACAAGATATCCAGACACCATCACACTTCATAAATGAAGAAATTGTACACACAACAACTACACAACAAAGTATTTCACCAATACGCCCAAATTTAACAACACCAAGAAATACAAATCCTTCACAAACACAGGTAACCTTACAATCAACCGTTAAACCTTCGGTTGCCCCTAAATATTCACATATGGATTACCAAACATACAGACCCATGACAATACCATCAAAAACACGCAAAACATTCACTAGAAACAACTTTACAGACCATAATTATAATTATACACATCCATCAAAAACATATAACCAACCACAAAGAAATTTTAACCAATATACAAGATCTCGAAATTGGGATAACCCAATGACCCAACCTAATTCAATAAATTTCCAAACAAATCCTCCACAGGATCACAGTGAAAATTACCCATTTTTTCAACAAAATAAAAATAAAAAACAGACATCTTATCAAATGGATTATTTATCCTCAGATGATGATTTCTTACAACCAGATATATTTGCACCAAATACTCAAGAATATCGTAGACAAGGAATACAGAGAACACGTACAAATCATAGAAATTTTTCTCCACAACCAATAGATGCACAACATCAACAACCAATTCAACAACAAAATCTAATTAATACACAATCTTTTCAACCAATTCAACAACAAAATCCAATGACTGCACACTCGTATCAAGCATCACAAATGCAAAATGAAATACCACTCTCATATTATCTCCAACAACATGAAATAACAAGAAACCAACTTTCGAATTTTTCTCAAATGCCAAATGCAGCAGAATCATTACAAATGACAATGAATCCATACCTTATGGGTGGATCATCAATAACATCAAACAAACCTTTAATGGTTTTCACAGGAACAGACCCTGAATACTCTGTAGAAGATTATTTAAATGCAGTAACAGCAAACCTGATTTTAAATATTGGACCTGAACCAATTAATACGCCACTACATCAAAACTGGATACATCGACGCACAGCGTTAATACAAACAACCTTAGATGGCGCAGCCCAAAAATGGTTTTCAGTACTACCTCTAGAAATAAAATCAAACTGGAAAAGGTTTACACAAGAATTTTCAAAAATGTTTGACTCCGAAAGAAACAAACAACAACAAAGAGTTTTATGTAATGAAATTCGCAGATTACCAAACGAAACCATCAAGCAAATAGCAGTACGAATCGAAACACTAGTTCGAAAAGCATATTCATTAAATACACATGACTA